ACCTGTTGAGTGTAGCCCTTAGCCACTAACATGGCTTTATACCTGTCTATGCTGCCATCTGACTTGAATTTGATTTTGTACACCCACCTGTAACCTATGGCATGCTTGTCCTTAGGTAAAGTGGTGATAGACCAAGTATTGTTAGCCTCCATAGCAGCCAATTCATCATTCATAGCCTTTTTCCAGTGGTCATACTTCACAGCTTGATGATAGAACCATGGCTCACAGGTGGAAGAAATATTTAAGAGAATAGCATTATGTGATGAAGAAAGAGCTTTATAAAATAAGGATTTGCATAACGGATATAAAGAATTCTGTGGAGGAGTTGACCCTGTGGTTAATAGGTTGCAATGAAAGTCTCTAAGGTAAGAAGGGGCTTTGCGCATTCGATTGCCTTTTTTAGGTACATGTGAAATAGATTGAGGGGGGGTGTGATTTTTTAGGTAAAAAGTTCTTAGGATCATGAGCTAGAGAAGAAGTTATGTCAGTACGTGTATCAACACGACTGATATCATTTGATGAAGTTGTGTGTAGATGAACAAAGGATAAATCATGACAAATTTTTGGCAAAACAATATTAGGAAATGGGTTAAAATTATCAGTGGTATGTGAAACAGATTGGAAGAGAAACACTTGTTCGTAAAACATGACATCTCTCAAGATAAAGAAGGTGTTAGACTCAATATCAAAGAGCTTGTACCCTTTAGCAACTGGAGGATAACCAAGAAACACACATGCCTAGGCTCTATGATGAAATTTTGTTCTGTGATAAGGTAAAGTGGAAGCATAACAGAGACAGCCAAAAGTTCTAAGACTATCATAATTCACTAGATAGTTGTAAAGACAAACAAATGGAGTTTTGTTTTGTAAGACTGGTGATGGAGTCTCACTGATTAAGTTTGTGGCCGTGAGGACACATTCTACCGAGAACTGAATAGGAACTCTAGATTGGAAGTATAAGGCACGAGCAACATTAAGCAAATGTTGATGTTTTCTCTCAACTACAGAATTTTGCTCTGATCTTTCAACGTAAGAAAATTGGTGAATAACCCCTTTATTACTGAAGTAATATGTGAACTTTAGTTCTTGAGCATTGTCATATCGAAAGCTCTTGATTACTTTATGAAACTGAGTTTCTATGAGGGTAAAAAATTTGGGAATGATGAATTCAACATTAGATTTTGCCTCATCAAGCATACCCATGTAAACCTTGTACAGTCATCCATCAAGGTTAGAAAGTATTTGTCACCAGCATGTGTAGATGCATTGTAAGGTCCCCAAATGTCACAATGAATAAGATCAAATGCAGCAGGAGACGTGATTATTTGTTACGAATTATAGCCTTCTTTTCTTTGCTAGAGGACAAATAGAACATGGAAGAGACATTATTTCTTTTAGTGTTAAACTTCAACAAGCCTTTCAATACATCTAACTTCTTAAAGGATAAGTGTCCAAGTCTATCATGCCATGTGTGATCAGTTATATTGTTTATCAATGAATGAAACCGATTACAAGAATTTTCATATACATCAGTACTACTTTTAACTGAACTAAGGCTGTTGGCATCAATGATATAAAGATCTTCAGCCCTTTTACCCTTGTCATTCATCTTCAATGTTTGCAGCACCTGAATGACACATATATCAGTGAGAAATATGATACTTAATGAAGATCTCTTAGTTAAAGAATTTACTGACAAAAGGTTAAATTTGAACTGAGGTACAAACAAAACATCCTCAAGAATCAAATCTGGAGATAGCTTCACATTCCTAATGTATTACACAGGGATTTGTTCATGATTAGGCAAAGTAACATATGCATTCTGAACATGTCTCAATATGTTAGAAGCATTTTGGTTTGAACAAATGTGACCCATGGCACCTAAATCAATTACCCAAGTTGTAGTTGAATTGAATTGTGGACTGAAATGGAGAAGTTAGTACCGGTCATTTGATCATAACTGCTTATATGTTGTGTATCCGTCTTTGCAACGGTAAGATCGTTATTCGGCATACTCATCAATTGTTGATACTGAGTTGAATTCAATGTTTGCACAAAATTTCCAACCATTCTGTGCTTGATTTGGCTTATGTATCTGCTCAGATATCAATCCTGTGACTGCATAGTTTACTTGATTGCTCAGACTTGTTTGATTACTAGTTCTCTCAACCTTCTACCTTGGTTTATGTCCTCGTGGAAAACCATGCAACTTGTAACATTTGTCTACAATATGACCTGTGTATCCACAGTATGTACAAACTGGCTGTTCCTTCTTCTGAATTTTATTGAATGATTGTCCTATGTTTGGCTTCCTAGTTTCATTCTTAGCATAAAATGTCATGGACTCATTGATACCAGAAGGATCAAGATTTATATTAACTTTCCTTTGATTTTCCTCTTGTATCACTAATGCAAAAACTTTGTTAATCGAGGGATTGGGTCTATCAACAGCAGCTGACCTCTTATTTGAGCAAATGACTCATGTAATCCCATTAGGAAGGACACCACATACTCCATTTGATAATGTTCGGCAATCTTCTTGTTTCCTCCACACGTGCATTTACCAATGAATATGAAGGTCTGTAGTTACGAAGCTCCTCCCAAATGGTTTTAGGTGCTAACTGATGATTGCCCCTGTGTTAAGTTCATCAGTTATCGCCTTAACTGAAAAATGTGTGGACCGTTCATTTGCTAATATCTCTTTAAGATCCATCCAAATGTCATGAGCTGACTCTGAATACATCACACTTGCTGATATTTCCTTTGATACCAAATTGAGGATCCAAGAAATCACCATGTTATTGCGAATCCATAAACTGAAGATATCATCAGAAACCTTTGGTCTTGCAATGGATCCATCAACAAAACCTAACTTGTTTTTCACAGATAGGATTATAACCATGGTACGACTCCATCACACATAATTGTCCCCTATCAATGGCTACGAAATAAGTACCAAACCAGGACTATCTGTATGGTGTAGGAAAATGGATTTGATCCAACATCAATTGCGGAACTGCTCATTAATGATGTTTGATTATGAATACACTATGTTGGAATTCCTGCCATATATTTGATTAAGCTATTGAATCAAAGAGTAATTGAGAATTCGTAGGTAAAGGATGAAACCTGTTCTGATACCATATTGAGGATGAAGGAAGAATTGAAAATGAAAAGAAAAATTTGTATTCAATTGATTCAAAGCACGAAATGATACAATTCGTTCATGTAAATACAAAGAAACTCTAACTAACCAACCAACCAACTAACTAACTATCTAACCAACAAACTTTTATCTATACAATCTATACAATTGGTGCCAAATCAGTTAACTCTGTTATTGTGCAGGTTGTGAGCTGGAGCTGGATTTGTTGGAGTTGTTGGTGTGAGCTGGAGCTGGATTTGCTGCTGGAGTTGTAATACAAAACTCGAAACCCACATACTATTGTAGACAGAAATAATTGTACGTAGAGAGAGAGAGATGGATTTTATCGATGGCGATGATGGCACATCCTTATGCCTTCGTATCATTTCTAGCTCTTCCCCTGATCTCTATTGTCGACCTCGCATGGCGGTTTCCCATAGCACACCAACATCAACTGCAACGTCACAACCCTCCATTTCTTTCATCTCTCTTAGACTAAATTACTCTGTAAAATATAATAAAGGGTTGATTTTTTATAATTAAATAGAAACGAGAAGCATGCGTAGAGCACCAAGAAGGTGCAATTATGACGTTGCTTCGACAAACAACTGCATATTAAGTTTCTTGTTATATGGGTTTGCAGTCACGTTATTGTCGAAAACAATCTCACGAGGAAATCAAACACCAACAAAGTCTCTCTCTGCCTACAATTCTCTCTCTCTACAATAGCATGTGGGTTTTGAGATTTAGGTTGGAGATGACGATGACAAGCAACTGCAATTTATAATCGCAGGAGGTGGCAATGGCGATGAATTTGGTTGATTGGGGTGGGATGGGGTGGGTTGGGGATTTGAGGAAGCAAATGAATAGTTTTTTAATTTTTATCTCTTTTTTAATCAATTTTATGGGAAAATGATGAGGCGTTGATTTTACCTTTATTTTAATTGGTCAAAACAAATAATTTTTGGGTCAACTAGCAATTAATGGACGGATCCTAACTATCGTCCTCTAGCTGCAATAAAAATAACAGATTTGAGACAGTGGGTGCAAAAATAAAAGTTTGGGTATAATTTGTAATAAATTGAAAGATTTGAGATCCCAGTTGCATTTTTTTTTCAAGGGATAAGAGTGCATCGTTTTGTAATTATTTATATAAACTTTCAAGAAATAAAGAAACCCTTTAACCACTAGGCCATGGTCGGCCCATTTTATATGCAGATCGGGCTCCAATTTTGGAGTCGATTACAAATGATTTCTTTGGTTTTTTTGCTCTTTTTTTCCAACTTTTCTTGGGAAACAAGTTGGATACCGCGTGATTGTTCCAAGGAAATATTGACATTTTCTATCATTGAGAAGTAAAATGCTCCACAGTTAAAAGTTCGAGATTTGTGAGGAAAATTAGTTGGAGACCCATTTCCTTTATCTTTAAATATCTGGGGACTCCAGTAGCAAATCTGCTTAAAAGTTAAAAAATATGGACCAAGCTGTGGTGACAGGATTACACCCTCCCTGACAGACCACACACATCGGGGGAAGGGAGGGTTTTATTTTCATTTTTTATTTGGCACAGGTCCCACGTCGGACCCACACCCTTGTGAGGGTCTGTCACCAAAGTGGGCTGCCATTTTCTGGCGGAGGAGCAAAATTCAAAAAATATCTACACCCGCAGGTAATCATAGTCGACATCCTTAACCCTGGTTTCGATAAACCAAAGCGCAATGCGCACACGCTGTACCCTAGTAACACCCCTCAAAACCCTAGCCTACTCCATCTATATAAGCACTCCATTTCGGCAGCCACTCTCATCCCTCATTGTTCAGATTTTCGTTTCTGCATCTGCATAAAATTTTCATCAATGGCTTCTGCAGATGTTGAGTACAGATGCTTTGTAGGTGGACTGGCATGGTCCACTAGCAACGAGTCACTAGAGCAGGCTTTCTCTCAGTACGGCGTAGTCGTCGATTCCAAGGTCCGTTTGTCGCAGTGATCGGATCCGATTCGGTTTTGTCGACCTCTAAACTGTTACTCATGTTACTGTTACTATTTCTGTTACTATAATTGCTTCTGAAGCGGTACGTTCTATCTTCTTCTTTTTTACCAAAGGGATGAAGATCGAATTGCATTTCAGTTTTATTTCTACCTTTTTGGTATATATTTTAAATTTTTCGTATAGATCTGACTGAACTGTGGGTTATTTTCTGGATCAGATCGTAAATGACCGTGAGACCGGGAGATCAAGGGGCTTTGGATTTGTGACCTTCCAGGATGAGCAATCAATGAGAGATGCAATCGAGGGGATGAATGGCCAGGACCTTGATGGCCGTAACATCACCGTAAACGAGGCTCAGTCCCGCGGCGGTGGAGGCGGAGGTGGAGGCGGTGGATTCCGTGGCGGACGCCGTGAGGGAGGTTATGGAGGCGGTGGCGGAGGCGGCGGAGGATATGGCCGCCGTGAGGGAGGTTATGGCGGTGACCGTGGCTATGGAGGCGGACGTGACCGTGGCTATGGAGGCGGTGGTCGTGGTGGATATGGTGGTGATGACCGTGGCTACTGAAGTGGCAGTGGTTCTGATGGGAACTGAAATTAAGTCTATGATTACTGTATTTTAATTAGTAATATCAATTATAGCTTGTTAGGGTTTAAAGTTTCTTGGTACCGTTTTTATTGAATTCTCCATTGCAGTTTTACTTTGTCATCTACTGTATAAATCAATATTTACCAGAGTTCTGTGGAATGAAGTAAATTGAGGTTTTGTCCAATTATCTGCTGCCTGCTTCTCAAGTTTTGTAATTTAGTTCTTCAATATAAGACAAAAGACTACTCGGTATAAATATCTGTTGGCTGTTGAGCCATAAATATCTGATAAAATATCTTCTACGAGTGACGTTAATAAAAGAAAAATCCCTAAAAGTATTTCAATGCGATATATCTCTTACTCGATTGGAAATCGCAGTAAGTCCCTATGTTTGAAATCTCGTGTGAGAACTTTGATAAAAATAATACAATAATATCTAAATTAAAAATGCATAATTGTAATTTCAGTATTCAATTTTTTTTATAAAATAATATCTAAATTAAAAATAAATAATTGTAATTTCAGTATTCAATTTTTTTAATTTTTATAAATATATAGAAATTAAATTCAAAATTTTTATATGCGCGAACTGAAATTCTAAATTTTTAAAACTTTGTTTTTCACTCCAATTCATCTTCTTTCCCCAAAATTAAAGGGATAATAGTAGTAGAAGTCCCAAATTTATGAAACATTAGCAGATTTTTTTCAAATCTATGATTTGTTGCAGCCATCAACCCTAACATTTCCAACAATTGTATGTGAGGTCATTTTGGATGGTTTCCACTCAAAAAATTAATTTTGACCATATTTTTAATCAATTAGAAGGGAGGCAAAATAGTAAATATTTATGAAAATAAACAAAATGAAAGAATAATTGAATAAAAAATTTGAAAAAAGAAAAACGACCGACATCCTCCTCCATGCAGGCATCCTTTGGATATCTATTTAGGTCAAATTGGGGAAGACACATGTGTTCATTAGACACACCATGAAAAGTAGGTGCTTGTGGTGGTTGTCTGCGATCATGGATCGCACCATCGGTATCGGAAAAGCCATCTGAAAGTCGCGCAGTGGCTGTGTTTGAAGATGTAGTTTGCGGCTTTTGTTTCTGTGCTTTTAAGGATGATTGATGACCATGGACAAGGGCGCCTTGATATGTATAATTACCTCAAATATTGGGCATGACATGGGTGTTGCGGCAATTGGAGATTTCAGCCGTTTTTGGGGACTTGAGCAGGCTGTTTTGGCTCAATTTTTCGGCAAGTTCAGGTGGTTTCGAAGCAGGGCATTGGGTGGAAGTTGTAGAGGGTGATGATGGCTTTCTAGTTGTATGTATGTCCGGCGGTTTGGATGGTTGCTGGTTGGAATTGAAGGTGAAGATGACGTGGAGGTGGAGGTGGAGGTGGAGGTGGGGGTGGGTGGGGCATATTTTCTTTTTTGTTTTTAGTTTAATTGTTAATAATATTTGGAAAAATATAAAATGCAAAGTTACCATTTACCCTTACTAAAATTGGTCAAAATTAATTTTTCGAGTCAACTGATGGAAAAATGGATAGAAATCATTCAAAAGGGCCTCACGCGCAATGGTTGGAAATGTTAGGGGTGACAACTGCAACAAATCAAATATTTGGGGAAAGTCTGCTAATGTTTCAAATGTTTGGATCTTCTACTGTAATTATCCCAAAATTAAATTGAAACTCCACTCAAATTAAAATTAAAAGTGGTAAATGGTAACTTTAAAATTACCACAATTAATAAATAAACAAAAAAAATAAGGAAAAAATGATTAAAAAAAAAGAGTTCTCTCCTTCTAGTACCCACCCCATCCCTAGCATCACTGTCGACACCACTGCAGTTGGTGAGGATGATGCCACAACGAATATCGACCACGAAGGACAACAACGGCGAGGACGACTTTGTTGAGGGCTCTCCTCCAATCATCAACGATTGTTCAATGCTGAAATTTTCTAAAATGCTTATGAAACCCAAGAGTGATTTAGGGTCAAAATGAACCAAGTCATGAGAACCATGAATGATTTATGATAGATGCATGTGCGAGTATTATTGTCTTAATTTACACCAACGGATGAATGGTTCAAAATATCACGTTCACCAATTAGTTAAGTAAATCAAATAGTATTTCATTAAGGAATGTTCAAAGCTAGAAGCTACCTTACTTGATGTAATATTTTTCTGCTCTTTCTCTCTACGATGCATCATATTTTCTCTTAGTATGAACATATTTGAATTTTCATTCATGTGGGAGGATTGTTGGAATATGGTTTAAAGATTGGAAAATTTGGCTAAATATAAAACTTGAAAAGTGACTTTGTGTCACTTTGACCAAATATTCGGATTGATCCGATAGTCATATTATAAATATAAATAGACTAAATTGTTCTATTCATCGAATAAATCGACGTAGTATATTTGGAATCTCAAAACCAATCCCCATTGAATAAGAAATTATGGTCCAAAGTTGTAAGAAAAACGAGGAGAAAAAAGGTAAAATATCATATAACACTGCTATTCGAGCGCCACGATAGTAACATGTAGGCGAAAAGTTTCTGTTGAACATGTGTCATTGGTGTTCGAGCGAGATGCCTACGACAAACTAGGGACAATAAGGGATACTTCCATTCGTAAAAGTTGCCGAATTGTTGGGTATCACTATTCACTCAAACCTTTCTTCTTCTATAAATATAAATCTTTGGACGTTCATTATGCATCTCATATCATTTGCATTGAGCATTACGACAAATTCTTTAGCAAAAAAATTTCAAAAATGATTCCAAAATTGTTTTCTTATAGAGAGAGAATTTCGTTTGAGTTCGCTATAACTTGTGGTTTGAAGTATTTCTACCACAAGTTGTATCCGTTGTATTTTAGGAGACAAGTGCAATAATCCATTAGTACCATTGTGGACCAATTTTGCATTAAGGAGAAAATTTTAATCACTTGCCTCGAATTTCTTTTGTTTACTTTCTTTTTATTCTCCTTCTTTATTTTCTCTTATAGTTTACATAGAATTTAATTATTACTTATGTGAATTAAACTTAATTATTACTTTGTCAATTAAACTAACAATCATTTCACTAAACAATTTACCAACAACCTACACTGAAAACACAATTACATGAAATTGCAAAGGGTCTTGAAATCTTCGGCCAGAACTTTATTTGGGTTGTTAGAAAAGGCAAGAACCAAGAAGACGACGAAAAAGAAAACTAGCTGCAGGAAGGATTTGAAGAAAGAACTATTTGACGTTTTAACAAATTTACAACTTTTTACAACTTTGATTTTAAATACCGGAAGAATTGTCTTTTTTTATTTTTTGGACAAGAAGATGAAGTGATGGTGGGATCGGGTGAAAATTAAAGTTATAAAGATTTGGGGATCGTAGGTGACACATAAAAAAATTGGATTTAATTTGGAAAAAAATATAAAGTCTAGGCATCGAAATTGCAATTAATCCTTTTTATTTTTTCGACATTTTTAATGTTTTTTATGGAAAATCTAACTGATCTTAACGGTAGGAGATTTTCACATAAAAGATTTCAAGTGTGAGGGTTTTCTATGATTTCTAATAAACAGGTGTTTATCGCACATGGAAATTTTTAGGGGGTTCTGTTAATCCGTTTAACAATCAAACTTTTTTGAAATAGAGTTTTGAATAGTAATTTTTAGGAAAATGAGTAGTTAAATAATGTAAAAAAGTTTTGAATATACGTGTAAAATATTTTATTGTGAATGTCTGGTTAAAAATGAGTATGGAAAAAAGAGTTTGAAAATTATAATTGTCAAACAAGAGCTTAATGGAACGTGGTGAAAAGTAGGTTAACAATTTATACAATGATTTATCAACAGATAGTGTAACGAGATTTAATTTGATCAAAATCTTATCAATAGAGTAACTTTCCCACTTCTATTTTTACACACAATCATTATGTAAAATATTATGTAAATCGTTATGTACAATAAGTATTTTTAATAAAAAATAGTATGCGTCCATATAATTAAAATTAATTATCGATTTTGATTTAAATTTTAATTCACTTTTGTAACTGAATCAAAAAGGGGCTAGATATATTTATCAGGATTGGGAACATAAAGTAATAAAATTTAAATAGCATCTAGAGAGCGTAGATCTTTATAATTTCTGCACCTTATAATTTTATCAAAACATGAACTAAATCTCTATCAAAACCTCCATCTACTATGTTTGGGAAATGTTTTTATACATTTCAAATTATAAACAAAATGAGCGTTGGATAAATAAGTAGTACCTCTCTCCGATTTTTCTCTTCATATATCAAGGACCAGACCTTACGTTTCTCTAAAAATTTTCCGTACTTTTTTGTTCGTTTATTGTAAATCGGTAAGGCGGTGCCAAACATGTCCCTATTTATTTAGATTTATTTTATCACAAAAAAGAAAAAATCAGCAGCCGCAAATCAGGCCTTTGGTCTGCCATCTAAACCGCATTTCGACCAATGTCCTTTGGTATCCCATTACATTGCTCCACAATATCTTTGTATCCCATACACAGAATCTGTGTAGTATCGAGCACCTTTATCCATTTGATACATACCACATATGACATAACCTTTACCCGCTGAGAATTCCAAACATGTTTTCCCCTACATGGCCTTTTCGATTTCTGGATTAAGTTCATGAATTCAATTCAATTTAGTGAGATATCTCGGGATTTCTTACTGATATAAGAATTTACTTCTGGTATACATGTTATCGTGCTCAGTATAAAATGAAAATTTGAACCGGCCATTGCTGCCAATCTTCCAATAAGTATAATATTTTTAAGGGAACCAATCTTTTCTCGCTTATCCTTAATCTCTCAGTGGAATGGAATCAGGACTTTTGCGATAATGAATAAGAAGAATGAGATGGAAATTTCAATCACAATCTCCAAATAATTAGTAAACGAACTTCATAATGCTTTTGTGGTATTCGTGTTATGC